GCGGAGGCAGGGGAGACCTTGACGGAGGGGAAAGCGAGTGGGAGATGCAGGAGGAGACGAACCGCGGGCGAGCGCAAAGGACTCAACGGGGCTCTTTGGCGGTGGGGGGGGGGTGTTAATCCGGGAAGAGCAAGAAGCCGGAGAAGACGCTGTCGGCTCCCTCCATGCCAACCATCCCGTTGTAATCGTTGACCGCCAACCACACTTGGTGCCCGGCTTCCAGCTGGAGCAGGACGCCCCCGGAGCTGACCTGCTTGGGGTTGGAGAGGTGGTCGCAGAAGCTGGCCACCCTCTCCCGGTTACGGTAGAGGTTGACGCAGAGGTTGGAGGTGAGCGAGGTGTGGAAGACGAAGTAGTAGACGCCCGGAATGCGGCAGGTGAACTTCCCCGTGGAGGTGTCGTAATCGTGGTAGGTGTTGGTCACGTTGCCGTGGAAGACCACCGGGGCGTTCTTCACCGGGTGCTCGTGGGTCTGGCGCTTGACGGTGAAGGCCGATTGGTACATGAGCTTGTGGCCGCCGGGGTCTCCGGGCTCCCCGCGATCCCCTTTGGGACCGACGTCGCCTGGGCTCCCGGGAGCTCCCCGGGGTCCGCTTTTCCCAGGCAGCCCGGGGACCCCTGGGTCACCCGCCTCTCCTTTGGGTCCGTGGCTCCCGAAGGCGGCGGGAGGACCTGGAGGACGGAGAGGAGGTGAGTTAGAAGCAGGAGGGGAAGGTCCCCAAGGGAGGCACCCCGGTAGCTTTCGAAGTACAATCATTCCTTTAAGGGAATAAGGGAGATGGGAGGTCCTCTAGTCCAAACCCCTGCTAAGGCAGGAGACCCTGGACCATTTCAATCAATCCATCAGAATAGAGCTGGAAGGGACCTCGGAGGTCTTCTAATCCAACCCCCTGCTCAAGCAGGAGANATTCTGTTATTCTGTTATTCTATCATTCTGTCATTCTATTATTCTATCAATCTGTTATTCTCTTATCCTATCATTCTGCTATTCCGTTATTCTGTCGTTCTATCATTCTATTATTCTATGATTCTGTTATTCTATCTTTCTGTTATTCTCTTATCCTATCATTCTGTTATTCTGTCATTCTGTCATTCTATCATTCTGTCATTCTATTATTCCATCATTCTGTCATTCTATTATTTATCATTCTGCTATTCCATTATTCTGTCATTCGGTTATTCTGTCATTCTATCATTCTGTTATTCTCTCATTCTGTTATTCCATATGAAAGGGTTGGACTAGAAGACCTCCAAGGTCCCTTCCAGCTCTGTTATTCTGCTAAGCAGAAAAAGACACCAACTTACTACAGAGTTTTCCAACCTTAAAACTTTCTGTGAGCTTCAGGTTTTTTAAGACTCCGAGTAACGGGAGAGGAAATCTCATTTTTTTCCCCTCAACAGTCTAAGATTTACACGGGGAACAGTCCAGAAATGACATAATAATAATCATAATAATCATAGGAAGAAACCAAGATCTGCGAGCGAGAACTGGTGGGACCACAAAACAGAAGAAACTAGAGTGCTCTGGGGCTTCAAAATTCAAACCCTTGAAATCCACCCCTCTTCACGCTACCAAGGACTACTAAATGACCTCCAAGGTCCCTTCCAACCCTGTTAAATCTGTTAAAAGGTTGAGGAACACCGTTTCTGGATCTGGGTGGGGAGGAGATCTAGGAGAACCTCAACCGCTTTCAAACGGAGGGGATCTTCGTGTCAACCCTTCTCTTCCAATCCTCTGGTGAAGGATTGTCCATCAGGACAGCCCCGAAAAGGGCAAGTTGGAGGGATAATCCTAAAGTTGAACTGAAGTCCCATCGGTAAGGAGACTCCAAAAGACCACTTACCTCTTTGGGAGAAAGATCAGATCCCAACCAGATTTCTGGAGGCAAATGTCTTGCTTGGCTGGATGCCGGAAGGACGACGGGACGGGGGGGAAGAGTCCCAGATGGGTGAATTTGGCTGAGTAAGGGGGAGAAAAAAAAGATAAGTTTCCCTTCCTCTTTTCCCCTTTTCAATTGCTTCCTCTTCCTCCCGCCGGCCACAAATGGTGACTTTTCAAACAGAGAAGTTGAGGCCATCGTTCTCCTCCTTCAAAATAGAAGGGGAACTCATTACATTTCCAGATGGCCCCAAGTTGGAGGGGGCGAATCGCCCCTACTTCAGTTGAAAAAAAAAACCAGGTTTATAACAGATTCACAGAGTTGGAAGGGACCTTGGAGGTCATCTAGTCCAACCCCCTTGCCCAAGCAGGAGACCCTACACCATTTCTGACAGAGGGCGGTCCAGTCTCTTCTTGAAAGCCTCCAATGATGAAGCTCCCACAACTTCTGAAGGCGACTTCAGTTCCATTGAATATAGAATAACAGAGTTGGAAGGGACCTTGGAGGTCATCTAGTCCAACCCCCTCACTCAAGCAGGAGACCCTACACCATTTCTGACAGAGGGCAGTCCAGTCTCTTCTTGAAAGCCTCCAATGATGAAGCTCCCACAACTTCTGAAGGCGACTTCAGTTCCATTGAATATAGAATAACAGAGTTGGAAGGGACCTTGGAGGTCATCTAGTCCAACCCCCCCACTCAAGCAGGAGACCCTACACCATTTCTGACAGAGGGCAGTCCAGTCTCTTCTTGAAAGCCTCCAATGATGAAGCTCCCACAACTTCCGAAGGCAACTTCTGTTCCATGGATGGATGGTTCTCACTGTCAGAAAATTCCTCCTTATTTCCAGGTTGAATCTCTCCTTGATGAGTTTCCATCCGTTGCTTCTTGTTCTGCCTCCAGGTGCTTTCAAAAATAAGTTGACCCCCTCTTCTTTGGGGCAGCCCCCCCAAATATTGGAAGGATGCTATCCTGTCTCCCCTGGTCCTTCTCTTCCCTAGACCAGCCATGCCCAGTTCCTGCAACCGTTCTTCGTATGTTTTAGCCTCCAGTCCCTTAATCCTCTTTGTTGCTCTTCTCTGCACCTTTTCTAGATTTCGACAATCTTTTTTATAGTGTGGTGGCCAAAACTGGATGCGGTACTCTAGGTGTGGCCCTACTAAGGGCTTTTAGCCATTTGTCCAGAATGGTATCGGTTCTTCTCCTACTTGGGCAGGGGGCTGGACTAGAAGACCTCCAAGGTCCCTTCCAGTCCCACAGTTCTATGTTCTTACAATAAAGTCGAATTAACTTATCTGCTTCCTATCCAGTCCATCAGATTTGGCTGGTATCAATTGCGTTACGTCTGAAGGTGCAATTATTCTCCCCCCCCCCAATCAACTTTATTTTTTTTAGTTTACATTTATTTTCCTCCCATCCCCAGAAATCTCTTTGTTATTATTTATTTGCTGTCTTCTGACCAGATTTGCTGAATCAACAGCGAAAGTCACACCGCCTTCTGCTTTTCGGCTGGAAAACACGTTCCTTCCTCCTTTTGAGCAAGTCAATTTTCATCACTTTGCAATTTATTTATTGTTTTTGTTCTCGTGCGACCAGACAGAGATTAAATTAAAGCACCCGACAGTTTGGGGTAAATTTAAAAAGAAAAAAAGGAAGAGGAGATTTGAGGAAGTGGGGAAGTGGGAGGAAGCGTCCTGCATCAGCTGCTCTTTCCCGTTTTTGGTGGGTCAAATCTGCGGGTTTAATTGGCGAAATCAGCTTTGAGGACCCTGGGGAAAGGGGAACACACCAGGCGCTGACCAGGCACAGATGGCAAAGCCACAAAGGCTGACGGTGTAAATCAGGGAGCAAAATGCTGTTCGGCTCCAAGTAAAAATAATCCAGGGGGGGGGGGGATTTTTTTTTTTTGTTTAATTAGGGCCTTTTAGATTTTAAATTTTATTTTAAAAAATAAATGGAAAGGAAAGGAAGGAGAGAGAAAGGAAAGAGGAAGAGGAAAGGAGGAAGAGGGAAGGTAAGGGAAGGAAGAGAGAAGGGAAGGAGGAAAAGGGAAAGGAAAAGAAAGGAAGAGAGAAGGAAAAGGAAAGAGAAAGAGGGAAGGGAAGGAAAAGGAGAGAGAAAGGGAAGGAAAGGGAAGGAAGGAGAGGGGAGGGGAGGAAAGAAGGAAGAGGGAAGGGAAGGGAAGGAGGAAGAGGGAAAGAAAGGAAAAAAGGAGGGAAGGAAGAGAGAAGGAAAGGAAGAAAGGGGAAAGGAAAAGAAAGGAAGAGAGAAGGAAAAGGAAGGAGAAAGAGGGAAGGAAAGGAAAGGAAGGAGAGGGGAGGGGAGGAAAGAAGGAAGAGGGAAGGGAAGGGAAGGAGGAAGAGGGAAGGGAAAGAAGAGGGAAGGAAGAGAGAAGGAAAAGGAAGGATAAAGAGGGGAGGGAAGGGAAGGAAAAGGAGAGAGAAAGGGAAGGAAAGGAATGAGGGGAGGGAAGAAGGAAGAGGGGAGGGAAGGAGGAAGAGGGAAAGAAAGAAAAAAAGGAGGAAGGGGGAAGGGAAGGAGGAAGAGGGAAGGGAAGGAAGAGAGAAGGAGGAAAAAGCTCCTCCATGCTCTTTTTCACCATTTTTACGATTTGACTTGAAAAGTCACCTTTTCACCATTTGAGAGGCAGCCTCTTAACTTTATTTTTATTTTAAATGAACTTGAAGTGCAGGGCTGCCCCAAAGAAGAGGGAGTCAAACTATTCTCCAAAACCCCTGAGGGCAGAACAAGAAGCAATGGGTGGAAACTAATCAGGGAGAGAAGCAACTTAGAACTAAGGAGGAATTTCCTGACAGTGAGAACAATGAATCAATGGAACGATTTATCTCCAGAAATTGTTGGCGCTCCCATCACTGGAGGTTTTTAAGAAGACGTTGGATAACCATTCGTCTGAAGTGGTGGAGAGTTTCCTGCCTAGGCAGGAGGTTGGCCTAGAAGACCTCTAAGGTCCCTTCCAATTCTGCTATTCTATTCTATTCCATTTCTTATTCTGTTCTATTCTATTCTATGCTATTCTTGCTACTCTATTGCTATTCTTATTCTTATTCTTATTCTTATTCTTATTCTTATTCTTATTCTTATTCTTATTCTTATTCTTATTCT